TAGTGGGTGGTATTCTTTTTCTTCTGTTAAAAACCTTATAAAATGACACCATGGTAGCAAAGGCCGTCTGCCAAGAAGATTTCTATTACTGATTTAGAGCATTTTACAGGTGTAGTGTTTTTGTAACCTTACTTTTTTATCAAGTGGCCAGTGAGCTGTGCTTCTCCTTGTTCTTTCATTGTCTTCCACCACCTTCACCACAACATTACAGGCCACCCAACTTTCGTCTTCTCCTTAGCTTTTGAAGCCTGCTGCACTATCATTTGCATGGGTAAAATCAGTGTTGATAGTTGGGCTCACTTTTTTTTTATAAGAATTACATCATTAATGATATTCTTACTTCATTTATATCAGGCTGTTACACTAACCAGTCGAGAATTGGTAAAGGAAAGAATGAATCATGTAGTCAACATGATTGACGATGTGGATTCCTGCAGTCCCCACCCTAAACATCAGGTGTGTTGCTACATATATAGTAATACAGTTGCAAAAGAAGAGTTTACAGGAAATGTACGATTCATGCAGAAATATAGCGTATTGACCCGATTATAAGGCGAGGTTGTCTTCATTAAAAGAAAAGGCAGAGGGAGGCCACTGTAGGGTTGGGCATCGTTTGATTTTGAACAATTCCGATTCCAATTCCCTGCTTCGATTCCGGTTCCTATCGATTCCCGATTCTGATTCTTTTAAGGCATGACATGCTTTACATGAGCCAGCTAACCACAGATCCTACTTGATGAAATAATCTTAACTTCATCATGAATTTTAATTCTGTGAACAACAACATCGCCTTCATTTAGACAAAAATGTGTTTTGGAGAAAAAAAGAAAAAGACTTGCAGCACAACTAGTGTGTTTGTTTCTGACCACAACCAAAGTCTGGAAGAAGCCTCTGGGATGAGAGGCTAACCCCCAAATTCCACTACCTCCGCTCCGGTCCGCCCCCGCCTTCCGCAGCCGCTCGCTTCCGAACTCAATTTTTACTGGTACCCGTTCTACAACGGCTCCGCTCTGGTGCGGAGACCTGAGGTGGGCAAACAAGCATGCGCGGGATTTTCGAGATCTTGCGATACAGTCCGAGCAATAAACGCGGAAGTTAGACCAAACACCCGCTGTGTGGGAGAAGCATCGGCATGAACTGTTTAATCTGCCCATCATTTGTGTTGAGAGATCAGCAGTGTTTGGATCAACAAAGTGTGACTACTTTGATAGTAGAAACTGTATTTATGGCTTACTTTTGTGCATTTAAACTTCAGCCGCCATTGATAGTTGTTAAAAGTTGTTAAACCTGTGCATATGAAACAAAAAACGCCTTTTGTTTATCGATTTATTGTGAAAAACGGAAGTTGTGCTTGCTCCTTTTCCTGTTGGGCGGTTGTGATTTCTGTCCATTTACTGCGGAGGTGCTCCGGCGTCCGGCGAAAATAGGATCGATTCTATTTTTGCCGGACGCCGGAACAGAGGGCGGCGCACCACACTGCCGGAGCACGGCCACAGTAGTGGAATTGCTCTGATTGACTACAACGGGACCGATTTTGCTCCGGCGTTCGTGTCAGAGCGGAGCGGAGGTAGTGGAATTTGGGGGTAAATGTCTCCAACATATCCAGAAACGTCCAGCTGTTTTCAGCTAAAACTCTCAGGATGATCATGTCCAGGATGACTGAGAACTACACCTCCATGCTGCAGCAGCATTCAGTCAGAACAGAAACTTATAGACATAGCTGCTGTCAGTAACAATCTAACTCTCAACAGAAATAGTTCCGAAATGAAATTAAAATGTTCAAAACTTTGTGTGCGATTTATTATTATTATTATAATTATTTATTGTGCCAGAAGCTGGTGTGGTCCACCACGGAGAGGCTTCTCTAGCATGATGACTTTAATTGTTCTACAGGTTATTGTTCAGCCTTCTGACGCTCACACACACACACACACACACACACACACACACACACACACACACACACACACACACACACACACACACACACACACACACACGAGTGTTGGTGAGCGGCTGCGTCTGACTGCTGACGCTCCGTGTGTGTTTTTATTTCTGCAGTGAGACAAACTCACCTCACACCGTCCAGAGTTTGTTCTTTAAAGCTTCTATTAAATCCACCATGTTGACGTATTTTAACAAGTTTCCTCTACGCTGCAGGAGTTAAAGTTTACATTACGGAGTAAAAGTTTGCCAGACGCATTTGTTTATATTTGGGTGGGGGGAGGGGTGACTCGGTCCTGCAGACAGACAGCTGGTGTGATCAGCTCAGAAAAGCTTTGATCACAATTTGCAGATCATGTTTATTTTTCACGGAGATCGGCCGCGGATTCCTCTTCCGTCGGCACACTAGGAATCGAAACTAGGAATCAAAATAAAAAACGTTGAGCGATTCTGGGAGAAATGAACAGTTGGAACCGATTCCAATCGATGCTCGATTCTCGATGCCCAACCTTTCAAGACGGCATTTACTCTTGTTTCTACATGTTGATTGTTAGCTCCAGTTCCTAGAAATGCATTACTCTTAAGGACTCATTTTTTCTTGTGCAGGGTGGTATCATTGTATATTAAAGTAAATCCAAATTTTAGGTTTGTTTGAAATACAATTACATTTTATAATCCGACATCACATTTGGTATCTTGCCTCAATGTTTTAGATTTATTTACAAATATTAGGAAATTATTTTTGAGTCGTAGACCACATGTATGCAATTTTGTTTTACAGCCTTCCTATCAGATGAGTAGAACGTGTGTCCTAGCTGTCGGAGAATAAGCATGTTATGAATCAACAGGGTCAATTTTCACCATCGAATTGACATAGTAACCTTTCATACACGCCAGAGTTTTACCACGTAGGGATAGCAAGTAGAGACGCAGACAGTCGCTGCGACAGTTGGCTGATAGCACCGCTGAATCCGATTCAGTGGCGGTATCCAACCGTGCTTAACGTTAGCAATGTTAGCTATGCTTACCACATTAGCAGACCTGGATCGATGAGTCCAGATGTTCGGTTTCAATCGCAAAAATGTAAAATCCCCTCGGCAGAATACGGCATACCATTCAAAGGCTCTCGTAATAATTAGCCAGTATAGCGGTAGTTCATGGAATGTACGTCGTGATCGCTCTTCCGCACGGAACTGTGACTGTAGCACTTTTATGCTAAGTCACGCTACTATGCACGGGTACAAGAAATGCGCGTCTGTGTCGCTAAAATGAACGCAGCTGCAGACGTGATGTCTGGAATATTAATCAAAAAGGTATTATCTCCGGTAGGGACTTCAGAATCACGTCCGGAATTTGGCGTCGGATCGTATTTTTAATCTCAGCTGATCAGGCCGGGATTAGGATTTTAGCTTTGTGTTAACTTTGGAAAATAGGATTTATCTGTCTTCCAGTTACACAAGCATTACATACAAGTAAAATAAAGAGATGGAACGAACACACACACTTTTAACAGCAAATAGCCGTATATGCAGCTTAGTGCAGACACAGATTTGGGTGAGAGAGAGGGACAGCGCCCCCGAAGGTAAGCAAAAGGGAAACCCCGTTCCACTTCAGCAGAACAACTGTTTAATGTATTTAATAAGTCAGAAATAACACAAAGTGTAAAATGATTTGAATAAGACTGGCTTTGGCTCACCACTTTGTAGCTCTGGTGTGTATGAAAGGTTACTGTGTCAATTCGATGGTGAAAATAGACCCTTTTGATTCATAACAAGCACAAGTTTAAAGTAGCATTAGGATGAAGTTATTGGGCCATCAGTATGCTGTGACAAGGTGCATATTGTGAAATAGACCCTAGCAGGCTGTTTTTGGATGCTAAATGAAGAAAATGTTTAATCTAAATGAGATAACATTCACTTTTTATTAGCCCTTGAGATAGCTAAACGTTGCGATTATATATTGAATCATTAATACATCTGTTCCTGTGAGTTATTTTTTCTAATTTATGTTTTTGCATGCCAAAGCCATATGGTTTCCTTTGGGAATCTATGAGCAGTATATTTAATAGTAAACCTTAAAGGCCTCAGCTGCCTAGATCTTCTTTAGTGTGAATTTAAACTGTATTCCACCTGCTAAAGATCTGTCTAGCTCAGGAATATATATATATATATATATATATATATATATATATATATATATATACTTGAACTAATCAGTTAAGTACGAGGGAGCTTGACCACGTAAGGCTTTAAAAGTTATGAACAGGAATTGTCTTTCAAGTTTTTAATTTACCAGCTTGATTGGTTGGTCATTAATGAGGAGTGGTCTTATTTTTTCTTTTCATGATTTACTCTTTAAAAATACACCCAAAACTAAGGTAGACCGATATATCAGTTGGCTGATACATTGGGCCGATATTTAATGTTTTTTTTTACATATTAGCAATGGCAGTTACCTACTTAGTAAAACTGATTTCAAAGCAGGCACATCCTCAGGCAGCCTGGTGCTGTTGCAGAATTGATTTTAAATGTTCCTGAATAACATCTGCTTAATAAATACTCAAAAAATTATTTTCAGCAAAACATTTTTATTTAACAGTTTTGAATATTTAATATTTGGTCAGTTGGTTGATTAACTTTATTTAAATTTCTGACTTTAACACTAATCTTTGCACTAAATAAAAATGTATCAGTTATATGTAATATTGGTTACTGGCCATAACAGCAGTGTTAATGTGGGAAGTTGGCCTAATTGTCATGTAATTGCTTCTCTAATTATTACTAATATTATTAGTGTTTTTGAATGGGCCTAAAATACGCTTGTATAAGAAATCTAGAGTGATTTTAAAAGGTCAATATAAAACCAACGTATTAGACACTAGCAATGAAACTTCAGTTTTTGGATCATTTATTGCACGTTTAGATGTGTATATTTTTATTGTTTTATTTATTTATATTTTTTCATGAATAGTCATTTAGTGATATAGTATTTCCAGGTATTGTTGTGATTTACATCAACTGGTTGGACCGAATTACAGATGTTCTGTTGTGTTTCAGGCTCAGGAGAAGGATGTGGAAAAATTATTCAGCGATTCCCTAAGAAGGACTGGGAGGGGACAGCCTTTCCACAGGGGGTGGAGATGGTAAGTGGCAGCCTCCGAAACGAAGGCAAATCAATCCAAAGATATCAGAAATACTTCATCTAAAGTAAAAAAAGGAACAAAAGACCAATCAAAGAACAAAAATGACTCATTGGACACAGGATCATCTTCATTTATGAGTCATTTATTATTTTTTTTTTACTGGTAAAATAATTGTATCATGTGTTGTTCCTTTGAAAGTTAATGATTCAACACATTTATATTAATTCTTTGTGACACATGCTGCTATTCAGCATATTTTATTAATGTGTCTTAAATCTGTCTTTGTAGCTTTTTGAACACAATACCAGCTTTTTTTTCCAGTAAATAGCTTTTTTCCCAGGTTTTGCTTCATTATTTGGTGAAAAAGCAAACCGTTTTAAGGTGCTGACTGATGTCTGTGATGTTGTGTGATTGTAACACTTTTATACTGCTGAAGACAGAGCAGCATTACAAATTCATAATGTGTATTTATAGTATTTCAATGAAATTTTATGAATTCCCAAAGAAAGGGTGAATATATTTATATTTTTTCAGTTTTGTGACAAATAACAACCATGAACATGTTTGAAAAACACACGGTGAAGGTCAAGGTCAATTTTATTTGTATAGCTAATTTTTAACGGCTGTTGCTGACCTAAGTGCTTCACAACATGAGAGACAGATTATAATAGAATAATAAAATAGAAATAACAAAATGACCTGATTCAGATGTAAAAACAAAGTTAAAAATGTATACGTAAAAATGTTACGTTAACTCTGATATAAAGCCAGTGCCTATAAACTGGTCATCATAAATTATTTTAAACATTCCCAAAGAACCAAAAAAACCGAGTTGAAAATCCCTCATCTGTTCTTAATTAAAAGACACAGCATAAAAATGGGTCTTTAATAAAGTTTTTAAATTATTCAAGGGTCTGAGCATTCCCTAATACTTCCCGGAAGTCTGTTCGACAATCTGGAGCCTCCCACAGAAAAACCCAATCACCCTGGGACTTCGACTTGGCTTCAGGGAGCACCAGAAGATTCTGAGTACCAGATCTCAAGGCTCTTAGAGGGGCACTAATTGCTAAAAGCTCAAATAAATTAGGGCTGCACAATATATCGAAAAGTTATCGTCATGGCGATAACAGGACGTGCGATAGGCCCATCGCAAAGCACGTCAAAAACGGCAATAAATGTTTGGTTCAAACGGTTCCATCCGTGTCATACATCAACTTTTTGTAAACCAGCTCTGTTTTTTACGCGGAAGTATTATTTGACCAATCAAATGTAGCCCTTCTGATATGCGGCCAATCAGATGGTTCCGTTCACGTAATACGCCTGCCCCCACGCGAGGTTACGCGAGGTAAAAAAGCAAGTATATTTCAAACGTAAATGTGCGCGTGTGGCACGCTAAACACAACACACGTGCAGGTTGCTCCTGATTGCTGTGAGACCGGGTTGGGGTGTGTGTGTGCAGCTGTGGTTGGGACAATTATTACATTAACTGAAGGACTTAAGTGTGTTACCGACACTTCTCTCTCCCTGGCTGAAGCTGAAGTGTGGCGGTCAGAAAGCCTCACACTGTTGCTCAACGCTCGACAAGCACATAGCAACGCACAACCTTCCATCCCCAGTAACGGTAACGGCGTTGCAACAGTGCAAAGGTAATTGATTACATTATTCTGTTATGTAAAAAACAACGCCATTATTAACGCCGTTACTCCCAACACTGGTCTGCAGTGATGCATGATGGTGAATAGAGAGCTATGCCTATGGTCTTGAGATTTGGGTGACCAAAAGAATGAGATTGCGATAGAAGCGGCCGAAATTAGTTTTCTTCTCTACAGGATGTTTGAGCTCTCCCTTAGAGATCAGGTGAAAAGCTTGTTCATCCGGGAGGGGCTTGGAGTAGATCTGCTGCTCCACCATATTGAGAGGAGCCGGTTGAGGTGGCTCTGGCACCTGGTTAGAATGCCTCCTGGGTGCCTCCATGGTGAGGGTTTTTGAGCACGGAAACCGGGAGGAGACCCAAAGGAAAACCCAGGGCACACTGGAGGGACTATTTTTCTCTAGGAATGCCTTGGGATTCCCCCAGAGGAGCTGGTTCAAGTGGATATGGAGAGGGAAGTCTGGGCCTCTCTGCTTTGGCTGCTGCCCTGCAACCCGGCCCTGGATAAGTGGACGAAAATGGATGGATGGATAGAAATTCACTGACTAGTACATTCGCTCTATTGGATCTGAGTGTTAGACACGACATCTAACAAACCTTCCTTCTGAAGACCTGATCTGGAGGGTGTGTAATGTTCTTAACTGCTATAAGTATTGTAATATCTGTGGTTTACAGACCCTCTGCAGTTATCTGCAATAATTAGGTTAATGCCAGAATATGTTCACAAAAAATCATAGCACCAGCAAGTTGTGGAGTGAACAAAGGAGATTTGCCTTGTAAATTAAAGACATTATTTCCTATTTGAGATGTTTTTCAGAGTAAAAGTTGAGTGAACACCTAGTTTACATGTTACCAACACCAAAGTGTATTGCTACTAGGGGTTGTATGAACTAGTCGACCTCACTGCTCTGTAGTGACTTTTTGTGCCTGTCATCGACTAGTCGCTGTCACGTGATGATGACCAGCAAGATGCAGTCCTCGGAAAAGACAGCAGGTGATGAGCTCCTGCGCGTCGGGAGGCGGCGCACTGTGCCAGAGCGTCGGTACTGACACCCGCCGTAAAACGGGCATTTAACCAAATTGTGATCTTTACCCTCTTGCAATTTAACCTTCCCCTCACTCCCATCCTAACCTTAACCAGCGTGCGCATGCAAATCTCTGATCGTTGACGCGCTCCAGACATCTGCGTCCTGAGCACGGCCACAGTAACATTATCAAATTAGGTGTCGCTACCTCAAAAACAAATATAGCACGCGATCGTTCATGTCGGCTCATTTCCTTTTATGTTTTCTGTCTTTTATTTGTGCCTGATGCGTTTCGCTGCTGTGGATCGGGGCGCATCACCTGTTTTGTCCTCCGGTGACTAGGGCTGTCGCGGTTGAGGAATTCCCCCTGCGGTGATTCAGGGTGGCTTAATATTGCGGTGTGCGATATTATTGCAGCACTTTTTTATTGCAGTACTATCTAAACAAAATGTTTACACATTTAAAAAAGGTTAAAAATTGCCGTGCCTTCTTTAATAACACTTTACTGAATGCAGATCAAAGGGCAGTAACAACGCAGATCGCAGTAACGCTTGTTTCTCCGACAGTCGGAGTCCGACTGAACTTAAAAACAACAAAATTCAGGAGGTTAAACTTTTAAATGCAAATTTGGCTGCAGCATCTAACAAATAAGAAACAAGTCCCCATTTTGTTTAGTTGTTTAAAATCAAGCATAAAAAATTACATGTACCGGGCGCGCGCGCGCGCGCCGGGGGGCGGGCGCACTATCATTTCACTTTCACACACACGAATGACGGTGATTTATAGCTCGGTCACGTCCTTGTTACCTACAAGGAAAACCAGCATGTTAACTACGGTTTGAGAGAGGATCTGAGAGGGGTGGCAACATTTGCAGCAACACTGAAAACCCTCTCGGATGGTGCGCTCGTTGCACTAACACACACGTACTTGCGTGCGACTCTGGCGAGCAAAGGGAATCTCCCGTTTGTTGCTCCACCGTGTCACGGGGGTTTTCTTTAGGGTGGATGCATTCCTCCTGCAGGTAGCGAGTGAGCTCCAGCTCGGCTCAAACTCTCTTTGGGACGGCTGCAGAAGCAGTGCTTGTCCGGGACTTCAGCAGGTCTCAGAGCGTTTGTTTATTTATTTATTTGCCGCTGGTGGCAGCTCTGTCTTGGCCAAGGACTCTGGCTGCGCAGCAGCTGACGTACTGAAAACCAAAGCGCTCCCACAGGAGCGAAGTAACGTTTCGTTTTGATACCAGTGCAGCCATCCTTCTCAACATGCATCATTGAGTTGAACCAAGTTCAGTAATCGCGGTGGCGCATGATGCAGCGCGGTGGGCTTCTTCATATCGCGATATTTCATTTTTGCGGTTACCGCGACAGCCCTACCGGTGACTCACTGCACTGGTGCGGCCGGCGCGCAGCGCACACTCCACTGTTTTTGCGGTCGGTAGATCTTTTAGAACTGCAGTTCAAAGGTAACTCATGAGGTGAATATATATGAACCCAGGTAGCAGTTTTTCTTTAGGATTGAGAGGAGATGCAGGAAGATAATAAACAGAGACAGGACAGAAAAATAGTCAAATAAAAACAAGTTTGTTTTTTTACCTGGTGGTTGCAACAAACAGACATCACTGAAGGTAATCAGAAGTGAGGAACAGAAAATGAAATAATTATTTTAATGTTTAGAGCAGCAGGAACTCTGAGAGGCTGCAGGCGCATCAGTGAGTTTGCGGCCGCTGCGCAGGGGGAGGGGGGAGAGGGCTGAAGCGGAGCAGTATAGATGCAGAAAGTACCGTTGTTAAAAGAGATGTGTTTAACTTTGAAAATGTGGGCGCAATTTTAATTGTCAAAACCTCCAGCGAACCTACTGACCCCCCCCCCCCCCCCCTTCAGGTGTATGACGCCATCAACGACTAGTCAAAGTCGACTCGATTTTCATTACTTGACCGTCAACTTTTTAAAAAAATGAAGTTGTGCAGCCCCTAATTGTTACCATATTAACTAGGGCCCGCCCGATATGCTTTTTTTTTGGGACTGATACCGATATAAAACTTTTAACAAAGGCTGATAGCCGATATAATGGCCAATAAATCTCCCTCACAAAAAAAAGAAAAGAAAATTTTCTTAAGCTTAAACTCACAAACACACAAACTCAGTCACAGCATAAATCTAACATTCAAGTTTTTTCTTGTAAACTGTGGTTTCCACAAATACATTTTAACTTAAAGGAATATTCCACCACTCAGTAAAATTGTGTCTTGTTAAGATTCCCCAGAGCTGGACAAGTCAGAAAAAGCATTTTATAACCAGCCCAATGTGATCTGGCAGCAGTTGGTTTTC